CCACAACACTAAGAGGGGGAGGGGGTGCTTGTCGATGACGCAGCGATGCACTTCGACCTCAACAACACAGAGGTGACGTCAGACCAGACTGGAAATAACATCACCAGTCTGCTTGAAAAAGCGAACGGATCGTTCGCGAAACGTAGTGTGAGTACTATTGGTTTTTATTTTGCTGGATCAACACTAATGAAAAATTTCATACAAAGTCATCCGTATTGTCATGTTTATTATGTTAAAGCAGGGAAGTGATATATTTCCCCTGCTGAGGTGCCACATTCGAGAAAGGCAATTAAATTTCTTTATGATTGTAATTTCTTGTATATCTATTTTGTTGTGGTCTAGTGTTGTCAGATCCGGTAGCTCATCACATTCCCTCTTTACTATTGAATCCAATCACAGATGTGATACACGGGACCTACAACATTCCCCTTTTTACCTCGATGGGGTGAATGAGGGGTATCACAATGTAATTCCAAAAAGGGATTTTCAGGCACAATCTGCCATTTTTGAGTAATCGTTCCCTACATTTATACTCCTCCCGCCTACCAGAGTAAAAATAAAAATTTTCGGGCTTGTAACAACCTGTCGTTTTCAAAAAATATTGTTGCCCAACCCTCTCCGGTTGCCCTGACCCCTCCTTCACATTCTTCCCCACCATCCACCAATTTTTCTACTATTGTTACCCCGATGGTCAATATTGGATTGCTGTTATATGTGCTGTTTTAATGTTGAAAATTTCACTGCACACACACACAGACTGAAGTGAATATTGAAATCCTGCAGTCCAACGCGATTCTACATTAATCATATCTTATCTTGATTGTTGGCTAGAATTGTGGGCTAGCTTATTGTTGGCTAACTTGATCTAGCTGGTTGAGAGTATAGGCATAATCTACTCTAATGACAAAGAAACCTAATGATCTCAAAATGACAAAAATCATCATATTATTGTCTACTCTTTCAGAGACAGGGAGATCACCGAAAAGTGTAATTAAAATCTTCAATTTCATATTAGCTACAATAATCAATAACAAAACAGGTTTTTTTTTTTCTTGATGTACATGGAATGATTACTGCTCCAACCTTCTATGTGGTCCTTGCTTACATTGTGCTTACCCTTTTCAGTAGAACATATATGGGGAGTGTTTCCTACAGTAGTTACACTCATGTATTTTACCAGCAAACGAGCCCCCTCTCCCTTAATCATCGAGGTCGCTCAACTTAAGCCATTGTGCCCCACTTATTTCAATACTCTCTAGATATGCCACTGGTACTTTCTGATTGAAAACAAACTGAAGAAATCTGTAGTAACCAAATATTTATCGTCTAAATTCTTTTACAAGAAAGATCTCATTCATTCTAAAATTTTCATCGATCATGATTGCACAATGCACAAATATTTTTAACCCATACGCCAAGGCATAAAGCATGCCACTATAATGATAATCATTCCCATCAACTATGTAATATAAACACAAACAAACATACAGTATTTATTTTTAGATCATTATTTCCAGGGTCTTCCCTTAAACCTCCAGGACGAGAGCTCATGTCCACGATCCTGTTGGCCACAACCAGTGAGTTTACGTACACTACTATACAATAGTGGTATGTTTAGACAGGTATGAACATGGCGCCTTGAATGAATCCTGGCAGATGTAAACGTGCATCCCTGTTGGTGTCGGCAAAAGTGTTAAAACCACATTTACTGATGAAGGTATACAACATTCAGGAGCCAGGAAAGCGTATACCATCCTCAAGTTTCTTTGCTCTCATCCTCACCAGTTCATCCACCATATACTGCAGAGGATCTTCTGGTTTCTGATAAACAATTCCTGATGTAAGATGCTGTATGGGATGAAAATAAAAGTTACCTTACCACGTAAAAATTTCATATTTTTATATATCTGCCTATTTACCCTTTGATAAAAAAAATGATGATCCTTTCTTGGAGGGCTTTCTTCAACAACAGCGAAAGAATTTGCTTGTAAGAGTCTCCAGTTCCAGAAAATATTTTTTTTTAATTAAAAAAACAAAATTTCTTATCAATCTACAAAGTACCCAGGATTTCTGAATGAGTAGTGATGCTAGTTGGTAGAGGACCATTAATTTACTGTTCGATACAGGTTCCGAGAAGAAAAAAATACAGGGGAACAGAGAGGAAAATTTACGGATGAGTGTCAAGATATAGGCCTACTCTAGGCCAATTTCCTAGTGAGTACTAAGCTATCCATGCCTAGCTAGCCTAGAGTAGAAGCCTAGGCCTACCATCAAAGTACTACTACTGTACTACTACTACTATTAGGCCTTGGCCTACTACAAGGCCTAGGCCCAGCTTGGATAAACCAAAATTAGTCCTAGGCTAGGCTAGAGCTAAGTATGTTTTTTCGCTGGCATATATATTCCAGATGCATGCTGAAGGGGTCTACAACTCTCAATTACGACAAATATATAAAACTCACTTGAAATATCTGCATAATGTGATGTTCTTCGAGGTAATTCACGGCCGTTATGTATGGGTTTTGCTCAGGCTGAATATATTGCCCTTCTTCTTCAGTCTGCTCACCTTGCTCTTCCTGTTTTTCTCCGGTCGGATTCTTGGTGGTATCTTCAGTGTCAATATCTTGAATAATTGAAGGACTGTTTATTGGCGGTATAGGAGTACAGTTTATACTTTCTGTCCCTTCAGTCAATAAAAATCCCTGTTCAAGTGATACCTTCAATTTATCTGTGCTATTATTAGTCGACGCCATGTTTTATTTAGATATAAAATAACTGTTGCGAGTCCAGTCGCGTGGCAGCCAGTGGCATATTCTATTTTGTGATAGGTGTTTATTTTCGTTTTTACCTTGATTGAAAGGAAGTATACCTCTATGGTAATTGTATTGCTATATGCTTTATGAATAATATATATTTTAATCTAAACTTAAGTAATTTATAATTCTCTGAAAATTACTGCAATTTTAATCACAAAGGTTTTAGTTATATTTTTAGAATGGAAGAGTTCATTTTTTGTTATAATTGTCGTAGGGGAATTCCCTACAGTTTGACTGGTGGTAATCTATTTTTAGGTGTCAGTCGTCGCCACACATCATATGTTTTTGATTTACAATAGAAATTTTCATCTTGTAAAATTTTGTTAATTAACCCAGAATCAACCTCATGTTTCATAACTTTAACCACTATTCATAAGGTAAGTTTACTAGGTCTATACGTTTATACATAATTCAAAACACAGAGGATATTTTAAACTTGTGAAAGAGGAAGTGGAAGGATTGGCATGGTGGCCTTGACCTTGTGGGGTGGTCTACCTATGTTGAGCAAAGATGGAGGCGTAGGCTAGATCCAGTGCAATAAGGAAGTTTGCCATGGGTAGTGTTTTAAAAATGTAGACCTGATATTTTACTACCATTTATAATTTTACTCTTTGTTCTTAACTACATACTACTTCTCCCATACCCATAGGGCCAAAAGGCAGCAGAATTGAAAGAGGAAGTGGTAGCATGTAGGTAGGTAGGTGGGGTGATCTGCTGGTTGAGCAAGGTGGTTCTATAAGTAGAGTCTGAGCCTAGGTCTAGATCCATGAGGTGTTAAAAAAAAGTTTGCCATGGAGAGTATTTTGAAGATGGAGACCCGAATATTTGAAAATCTTTTTTTAGTGTGTGTTTTTAAACTATAAGCTCTATTTGTTACCGTATTCATTTGTATGCTCTCTATTTTAGTCAGAGAGTACTACTATACACAATGTTTGATAATGAATTGTTGATAAAATAATAATTTATGTTTAAGTGTACATATGCCTGTATGCAAATTGATTTATATAAGGATAATATGTGGCAAAGACAAGCCAAACCAGTCACTCGTCGAAAATAGTGTTTCAGAGAAAATAGCAAGAACATGTTAGAATGTAAATTTTTTTTTAAATCTATTTTATTTCACTAAACTAAGGTTTATATATTTATACATCATGCTGTGCTGTTGTTTTTCCCAATTACGATGTTAAAACAACACTTTTTAATGATTTTATAATAGTTTCTGCATGAGAAATGCCTGAAATCATAAACTTTGTAGGCTTATTTCTCATATATTGTTCTTTAAACAGCTCTATGTTTAAATGCTTGTAACTTCAGAAGGAAATGTCGGATTTGAATGATTTTTGTACCATTTTATAGCTCTTATTTTTACTCTTTAACACTATATTAATAACTAAATCGATTTTTGCGATGACTGACTGGTTTGGCTTGTCTTTGCCACATATATATCTGCTATATAGACTATAACTATTATGATCATCTTTATCAGTACTGTAAATATATATATGTATTTGAAATAGCTTTTGCTTTATACTGTAAGCTTTGTATAAATACGAAAAACAATGAAAAAGGAGAATTAAAAAAAATTAAAAAGGATTATCTGTAATTATAAAATAACTTATAAACATCAAAAAGAAAAAGAAAACTTAAAATAGGATAAAACATTGCTAAGAAAGTATTCACCGTTAAACTTTCTTACCACTTAATATCCAAGTCTCTGAATTTTAAAGCCAGTTCAATTGAGAATTTGACTAATAGTTTTAAATTTGTTAAATACAGTATTTTTTTTAAATGCATAAATCTGTCATTCTGTTTCTCTTTGGAAGTCATTGCCTTCATACTATTTTTCTTTTGTTTATCAACCTTCCCAATTTCTTTACCTTGAGTGGCTTCATTAGCCTTGTTTGGGGTGATTGTCAATAAATTAAAAAAAAAAAAAAGAGAAAAGAAAGTTGATACAATATTATATATTGTGGAGTTGAGTTGAATAGCTTTAGTGGTTAAGATGCTTGCCCTCTAATCCAAGGGTCTTGGGTTAAATAGCTGTGACAGCAGGAGTTTTTCTCACAACTGCAAACAACTCCACTCCCTAAGCCTCATCATAGGACAATAAAAGCATCACCTAATTTCAGGGCCCCTGAATATCAGTCGACCTTCTAGGATAAGATATGATAAACTTTTTATTGTCCATCAAATACATGGAAATCCATGGTCCATTTGGTATAAAAATGCAAAACCATCAATTGAATTACATCACAATTTAAATTGCACTTCAAATATAAATCTCAAATTGTTATCAAAAGGAATTAGGAAAACACAAAGTTACATCAAAATTCATATTTCATTACAAGTATAAATGTTTATAAAATTATTTTATCAGAAGGAGCAGCACATATCTTTTGCTGCTCCCTGGCTCACCTAATTATTCTTTGTGAATTTCTTATTTTTTGTGTTATTTGTATTGCTAGAATGAATGAAATAAAAATAAAAATCATCAGGTATACATAAAATTTGATAAATACGCTTGAAGGTTTGCCCTCTATGCTTAACTATTAATTAGAATGTTTATTTGTACAAGAAAAAAAAAATTTAGAATGATCATTAGTATAGAATTAATATACCAAAAATTGAAAAAAAAAAATTGAACAAATTACCGAAGAGAAATGGAATTTTACCTCAATGAAACACAAATGAAGCTGAATAAATTTAGGTTAATTACTATATAAACACCAAGAGTAATGTACCCTGCTAGCACTGTTATACCATAGATAAACACCAATATGATGATGATAGGGTATTGCTAATCCCCGCAAACCTCCCAAAAAGCACCGCAAACCCCATCCAAACCTTGTGATAGTGATTGAATCACGTAGTATGGGACTCAACTTGTCTCAATAAAAAGTAAAAAAACACAGTGCAAACTCCATCCAAACCCTGTCATAGTGAATGAATCATGTAAAGTACTTATTCCAAATCCTGAAATAAAACATTTGAAATTCATATTTATAACAAAAAAAAAAACAAGTTCTCGTAAGCTCCGATGACGGCAGTATAATAGAGACAGTATTGTATATTGGCCCTAACAGCTGCCCTTAAAAAATGATCTATTAATCAATCAATCTCTATTCAGCAGTATTTCAAACAAGGCTTTTTGTCAACACTGAGGTTACATAAAGGCATACGTTATTTTATTAGATTTATTGCCATTAATTACTACCACTAATAGAACACATTGCATAAATGGTTAGCTCTGTGTTATAAGGAATGGAAGCAATGTGAGTTCGAATCGTGCCGCAATGTTTAATTTTTTTTTTTTTTTGGTAAAAATGAACATTCTAAGATAATTGAGAATTAGTTGATAGAAAAAATTGGAAGAGCTTAAAAAGAGAGAAATTTTTAAATAATTAGATTAAATAATTTGTACAAAAAAAAAGTGTCTTTAAAAAAAAATTAACAATTGAATTCAAGGTGCGATTCAAACTCATGGCCTTTTGTTCCTTAGAATGCGACGTGTATAATAGTGGTAATGGCAGTAATGTACAGTCCTTGCTGAAACCCCTGTTTTGTTTTGTAGGGTATGTGGCACACTGAGGTGCAACTTCAAAAAGGGCTGCGAACGTTTGTTGGAAATCAGGTCTCGTTTACAGTATGTGTAAAAAATTTCCTTCACGTCCGTTAAAAAATGGTACCAAATCAATCAGACGAGTGTTTTTAGAGCTTCTCATCGAAACTAATAAAAATAATAATAAAAATAATTGGCCACTAATAATAATAATAATAATAAAAATAATTGGAATAACAGCCACCCATACAAACAAGATCTATTAATTAACCAGCAGGGTACTCATAGAGCTCTTCATTAGAGCTAAAAATCAAATATATACTGTTAACCACTTGATATAAAACATATTTTGCATTCTAATCAGAATCTTTTTCCAGGGGAGAGCATCTCTTCTCTGCCTTATACTCCTTAATATTAAACCCCGGAAACCAAAGTTTAAAATAGAAATCATGTCTGACCCATAAGTATACAACAAAAAGGTCAAGTAGACTTCCAACTAGAAACAAATTTTAAAAAAAAGTGTTTTTGCTTATTTACAGACATTTTACTGCCAATATCAAAAAACTGATTATACAGTAATTTGACCTAGGAAAAGAATACATAAATTATTTAACTGTACAATAATTGATGGGGAAAATTGTTTTTCACTTAAATTTTCAATTGTAAGTTATTAAACTAATTTAAATATGCAAGTTAGGGAATTTTAATATAAAAATTGGATTTTTCAATTTCTTTTATACAGCAGATCAAGACAGACGTGCATCTTCAATATTTGTACTAAGTATTTAATGTAATGTGAATTTGTGAATTACCGAATCAGGGCTTGTCATTTGAAAATGGCAAGTAAACTTAAAAACACACACATTATTTTGTTTAGGCAAGTAATTACTTTGGGGTGTGGGGGGGGGGGAAGTTATAATACATCATAGCAGAAAGCATGGGCACAGTTTGGGGGTTTTACCAGATTTAAGGTGAGTGATTTTCAAACCCAAGGTGCTCTGTTTTTCATACCCCTGAAGAGAATATTAGGTGAGTGATATGCAAATGCAATCACTCACCGCAGATCACAAGCCTGCTGAATAAACAAACTACTGTAAAACTGAAACTTTTAAACTTAATGTTGAAATACTGTATATACATTACGCAATGCAATTTTGAAAAACAATGAGAATTTTAGGTTGCTCATTAAGCTATTCTTACCTTTATGGTTCCTGGTTCACAGTCATTTCTTCTTGTTTCCAGTATGTACAGTACTTAAACTCGCATCCATGTCCCTAAAACACCAAACAGTAAGAAATACCAAACACTATCTGTGTCAGCTGACCTCAAGATCTGCTATGGAAGGTAAGACATTGTTTAACAGGTATTACTGCATGGGTGTACTGTATGTAGTATCAGAGAGCAGAACCCCTATCTAGTTGTGTGTACGTACTGTCCTCTAGTATAAGCCCATATCCTTGAATTAGATGTGTATAAGAGACAGTGAATACAAGATTAAGCGGATTCGGGGTTGCCGGGAAGTGGGGAGGGGCGGGCGGGCTTATACCTGGGGAATCCCTATCTTAATCAAAAAGCAATTTGTCAGCACTGCATTAAATTCAAAGTCAATATTTGATTTTTTTTGTTGTTGATATAATTGTCCTGTGATCTCATCTGATCAAGTGCTGTAAAGAGTATACAGTAGTTAAAAGTCAAGTACCTCTTTATTGCAGGGGCTCATTGCTCATACAACAAAAGTGGAATATACTAATATTCTACAAAATAAATGTACTAATATCGAACACCTAGGGTGTGGCAAACGTAGACATTATCGTACAACACACACCCACACGATGTGTCAGCGTCAAGTATGTGTGAGTTAAACGCAGATGCAATGCTTCATAAAACTGCATTGGGGACTGTCACATCCTAGAATATCAATCACATGTAATATTCTCAAAACGACCTTAGACTGTCCCCGATGATAAGTCGTGTTGGGCTGCGTTGTACGACGTTTGAGTGGGCCTTTAAACATTGCTGTACTGTATAGTGTAACACCCACTGTTTACTTGCAGTATTTAATCCCTCATCATTTTTCCATATCTTTGGCAGGTCTGAGTGTTGTAATGATGATGGCAGGAATGATGATTATGATAAAAATGTGATTGTTTTTTAGATACGTATGATTCTGTGGCGGATGCAGGATTTGGTGGTAAGGGGTGCATGAGAGTCTACACAACCTCAGTCCCATCATGGTTGAGGATGGACCTCCAGCTACCCTGAAATTGCACTCCCATACCTTAAAAATCCTAAAGGTACTATTATAGGTTCATATCAACAGTACAATACAAAAAGTTTTCTTAATACAATTTAGGGGGATGTGATTGCACCGTCTGTACCCCCTCCCCTTGCATCTGCCCCAATGAAGACTAGTTGAATATTTAGATTGTTGTATAATATCTATTCTTAGCCATGGTTGTCAGTACCCTTGAACATTAGATGAATACTACAGTAGATACTATGATTTTCAATTAATAAGAAATAATAAACATTTTATATTCTACTACAGGCCAAAGTTTCAACTTGAGACTTACAAAACTAAGTGCTGAGATTGGCCAGGCAACTGGAGGTGAAGTTATTTTCGCTAATGTTGATTCCGTCGAAGCAGGTAATTGATGGAAATAAGATTTTTTTTTTTTCATTTAATAAAAAAAGTGAT